TGAATCGGTTACCTCGGTTTCGGACGGATCAGCCAGGTCGGCCTTGTTGAGCGCGACGAGCCGACGCACATCGGGCTCCCACGGGGAGCGGCGGTGGAGAAGCTCAAACGCTGAGGTGGCGGGTACCTGCGAGGGAGAGGGAGAATCCACGAGCTTGTGAGTTGTTAGTCGAATCCCGTCTCGTCTGAAAGGTGGAGAGTAGAGTAGCGAGAAGGACGGTGGCAGTGGCGGCGAACGTACGCGGGCGTCGCGGACCTCGAGGACGAGGTCAACAAGGGGGAGTCGGGCGCGGATGGCGCGGTCGGCGGCGGCCATATGACGGCTGTACCAGGCGCCGGAGAGGCCGCGCACGGCCGCGCCCAGGCGCTGCGAGAAGGCCTCCGCCGCCGCTGCTCTTGCCATTGCAGACGCCGGACCAGGCGGGAGTGCTTGATACTGCGGTGGGCCGTAGAGTAAGACCCAGAAGGATTATCGCGTCGGCTAATGGGCTTCTTTTCTACGCTGAATTTATCGTCGTGGGCTCGAGCTTCCAAGGCCACCTGCGCGATTAGACTGTGTCTGCGTTCCACTTAACGCCAAAAAAAAAACTTAACGCCAAAAAAAAACGTAACGCATTATATACCCCTCAAAAAAAACTTAACACATTAATTCTCAAAAAAAAGTAACGCATTATATTTCTCTCAAAAAAATACTTAATGTATTATATACCCCAATCAACATAAAAAAACTTTAAAAAATCTAAGGTGGCATACTTTTTTTGCGAGTAAACTTCCGTTCTATTCATCTTTAATCTTGACAGCACAACGAACACCAAAAATACTAAAAATTACATCCAAATACATAGACCACCTAGCGATGATTACAAGCATTGAAGCGAGCAGAAGGCGCGCCATCGTCATCACCCCTGCCTCGCTGGAATCAGGCAAAACTTGTTATAATAGACAATCGGGAAGTCATCATGCTAAGGTCTCATAGAACCAGCACAGCAGAACAGCAACCGCCGCCGATGAAGAATAATGTTATACTTTGTTCTCATAAAAATAAACTTGACGTACTAAACGTATTACTCTCACAAAAGAAACTTAACGTGTTACATGTTCATCAGTTAAATATGATGTGGAGAGTGATCAATGGATGGATTTCTGCTATATGTGAGCATCTTTATTATTACGGTGTGAGAGAGCCATGCTGATTGGTACTTGTAACATTCAGGAACTGTCGGTATTAGATCACTCTATACCTGCTTTTGGGGGATTCCTATCAACGATCGACCCCAGTTGTGTACCGCACATTATCTCCTATTTCCGCAATTTTTCATACGTCATCGCTAACAAAGTAGTCATGTCTTTAACTTTTCATGTATTATTGCTAGCATACGTTCAATCATTTCACTTAAAGTTAGGCCTCGATTGGAGCGTGAGAACTCAAAAACGTAGGAAAAGAAAAACTATAGAAATTGAGATGTCGTGTAGCATGAATTCTCTGGATCCTTTTCGCAAAAAAAATTTTACATGAATCCAATCCAATACAAAGTAGTACTCCAAAACTTTCGTTTGGATACTGCACAGGATAAATGTGGGAATTCTAGACACAGGGAAAAGAAAACATGAGATAAAACCACATGTTTTTTCCTTCAAAATTCATATGGATTGCTCCTCATTCCATAGGATTTTCACATCAATCTTGGGGAGCCATTTCTTAGTCCCAAACTGAACCGTGGGAATTTTCCCTATAGAAATTGAATCTTCCAAAAATTCTATAAATTTATTTATTTCAATAAGGGCCTTAATGAGCACACAACATGAAGCGTGAGAAGCGAAGAGTAGGAGGGCGTGCAAGAGCCTGAGGCCAGCGCCTCATAGCTCGCACAGTCACACCTAAACCTAAATCCCATATGTTGTGATTACAGTTGACATTACGCAAACTTGATGTTAGTGTTGTTTGTTGGATCGACTGCATATGAAAAATTCATTTCTATATTACTGCAGAACTACCTAATAACATAAGGCAATAAGTTCTTTTGCATTGCAGAAAACATGAGGAATAGGTTAATTGAGAAGCTAACATTATCATTTGTCAGTTATGCTTCAAGAATTAAGCGAAAAATAAGTTCATTGCTTCAAGACGATTGTACATATCGCGAAGTACACCGTTACAAAATTTTGTTGTCAATGAGATTATTGATTTATTCGATGGGCTTGGTGGTCGTAGGGGTACATTTGGACAAATAAACATGTTGTTTTGTTTTACAATGGTGCCATGATTCGACATAGACACTATATCTAATGTTTGATGTATTGTTGTGTAGTATATTTGGCGGGCATAGGTTGTCCTTTTTAGCCTATATGGTGGTCATAAAGGTACATTTGGGCACAATCAGAGCCAAGATTTGATCAAACCCTGGGCCAAAAGAAAAGGATGGGTATGAAGGTTTTTTATTTGCACCTCCAACTACTCCAATAAAGTACTCCTAAAACACAATATAAAGTATGGTTCAAAGTAAGAAGTCAGGAAAAGTTTTTCCCCTAGGTCTCTCCTAGGGTTCTTCTTATCCCTTGCGGCGCCCCCGCTAGGGTTCCAACACTACCCGGAAGATCTCTCGATCTCCACGTCGGGAGACCCCTGCGATTGATCTAGCTGAGGGTTTGCGGCGTTCTCGATCTCTGCAAGGGTTCGCATGGCGAGCATGGCAGGACCAGGCGACGGGAGTGGGTCTTCGGGGCAGAACTCGCAGGACCGATCTGGGGCTACAATTCTGGAGGACAAGTTTCAGGGACTGAATCTCCATGGGGAGGAGGAAGAGGAGCTTGACCTGTCTGGGGAGGTAGATGAGATTATAGCGGATAATCGCTAGATTGCAGTGTTTAGGGTTCATACTCAGAAACCGTTTAGCCATGTCTCGCTGTTCAAAACACTGCGTAATGCATGGGCGGCGGCACAAGGTGTGATCTTGAAGCCAAAGGGGCCTAACCTATTTCTGGCGCAATTCATGTGCCTGGGAGACTGGAATCGTGTGATGGGGGGCGACCCGTGGATTTTTCGTAATGCAGCAGTGGTAATGGAAGAATATGATGGCATATCTGATGTCAGGCAGTATAAGTTAGACAGAATTCCGGCTTGGGTGAGGATCATGGGAATCCCTGATGGACTAATGAAGAAGACGTCCGTAGCAGAAAAGATAGCGGCTAAAGTGGGTATCCCTCCTTTCAGAGTGGTTGTTACTGAGGGAAGGCTGAATCCCTCGAAGTACCTTAGGGCAAGAGCCTATCTAAAGCTTGATACGCCACTTGTCAGGTTTGTACCGCTTACGCTAAAGGAGAGTAAGAGGTACCCAGTAGAATATGAAAAACTCCCAGACTTCTGTGATTTTGCGGCCTTTTAGGGCATCTTGTGATGGAATGCGGTGATGGAATTCATGATCGGGCAGCATGTGAATGGGGGGACTGGCTTCTGGTGAATTATGAAGAACAAAATGATCGTGGTGCGGCAAGTAGAGGGGCACCTCGGGGGAATCCAGGCAGTGGCATAAACAGAGGTGGTTGGAATACTGAAAAACAGAATGAAGGACGCCCCAAGGAGCATGAAAGCATGGAGGTGGGGGAGGAGAAATCACAACCATAAGGTACGGTTAGCTTGAGTGTAAGGAAACGTCTGATCTCACAGGATGGTAAAATAAATAGTACAACAGATCCATCAGCTACTCCTCCTGAGGGGTTTGTAAACGACAAGGTTCTGCTCCTTGAGAATGCGGGTGAGGAGCAGATTGACAAATCGCAGATGAGCACACCTCAGAAAATCCATGGTCATAAAAGGTTGAAGGCAGTAGTTACAGCAGGATCAATTGATATATCGGCGTCCTCCTCTGGGGAGGATCGCCGGACGCAATGAAACTCATTAGTTGGAACTGTCGGGGACTTCTGGGTGCCCCGACAGTTCGGTCGCTTCTGGATATCCAGAGGCAGCATAAGGCGAATGCGTTCTTCCTGTCTGAAACGCATCTGGACGAAGAAAAGGCAGAAGCTTTGATGAGAAAGATGGGAATGGACCACAAGATTGTAGCACCAAGTCTTGATGGTAGGAAGGGGGGTTTGTTGCTAGTCTGGAAGAAGGAGGTGAGGATCTACTCCCGGACTACTACATTCCACTGCATTGATGTTTCGGTAGAGGAAAGCGATGGGAAAGTTTGGAGACTAACTGGCATATATGGTGAGCCTAATTGGGATAATAAGGAAAAAACATACCGGCTCCTGCGTGATCTTCATGCCCAGTCCACCCTCCCGTGGGTAGCGATTGGGGACTTTAATGAAATTTTGTATTCGTCGGAGAAGGAGGGAGGAGCCCCCCGACAGCAAGCCAGGATGCAATTATTCCAAGATGCGCTGAATGACTATTCGCTGGAGGATATTGGATACAATGGGGACAAGTTTACATTTTTCAGAGGAGGACTACGTGAACGTCTAGACTGGGCTGTGTCTAATGCAGAATGGATTGAGATGCATCCGTTGTGTGGATTGAGTAATCTGGAGATGGGCAAGTCGGATCATAGACCAATTTGCCTAGATACACTTGGCCAGAGTGGCTGCAGATCGGCCCATGAACAGGCGCAAGTTTGAGGCTCGATGGTTAGCGGAAGAAGCAGTTGAAGAGATCGTAAAAACAGCGTGGCTAAAGGCGGTCACTCAAGGCCTATGTCCTACTGCAAAGGACAAGCTAAACGCCGTTCACAAAGAACTGCGTGCATGGGACAGAAAGGTCTTGAAAGGGCCGCGGTATAGATTGAGAGCAGCTCAACAGGAGCTTGAGATGCTTATGAAGCAGGCACATAATGCAGAGGTAAGAGCAAAACAACAAGATCTCACAATGATAATTGAGAATCTCCTAGAGCAAGAGGAGATCTATTGGGCACAACGTGGTCATGCAAACTGGCTACACCGTGGTGATCGCAATACAAGGTTTTTTAATCAGTTTGCCTCAGCTCGTAGACGTCGTAATTTAATTAAGAGATTGAAAAGCAATAATAATTCTTGGGTTGAGGGTAATGATAACCTCGAGCCCTTGATTCTTGAGTATTTTCAGAGCCTTTTTCACACTGATTCAGGGATGATTGATGATGATTTACTGTCCACAGTTAAACCTGTGGTTACTACACAAATGAACAACCTGCTGATTGCTCCTTACACTAAGGAAGAAGTGAAGAAAGCATTGTTTCAAATCGGGGATATGAAGGCCCCGGGCCCCGATGGCCTCCATGCTATTTTCTTCAAGCGTTTTTGGCACATTATAGGTGAGGAGCTCACTAAGGAAGTTCTTGAAGCTATCAACAACAAAAAAATACCAGAGGGATGGAATTCAACTAATGTGGTGTTGATCCCGAAAGTTGAGAGCCCTGAAATGATAACCCA